TCGGGGTGCCTGGCAGATCTGAAGATGCCTACCTCTTTAAAAAATTATTTTTAATGTTTATATATTTTTAAGAGACAGACAGAGCTTGAGCAGGGGAGTGACAGAGAGAGAGAGGGAGACACAGAATCTGAAGCAGGCTCCAAGCTCTGAGCTGTCAACACAGAGCCTGACGTGAGGCTTGAACTCAAGATCATGACCTGAGCCACAGTCAGATGCTCAACTGACTGAGCCACCCAGGTGCCCCAGAGGCAAAACTTCTGTCACTGGAGACTCCAGGACTGTGCAGCTTCCTAATTTCAGAGCTTCCTCTGGAGTTAGTTAAAAGTAACAGCTCCCTTCCCTCTCTCTCTGCCTCTCCCCTGCTCTCTCTCTCTAAAAAAATAAGTAAACTAAAAAAAAAAAATTTTTTTTTTAAATGTTTTATTTATTTCTAGGAGAGAGAGAGACAGCGTGAGCAGGGGAGGGTCAGAGAGAGAGAGGGAGTGACAGACTGAAACAGGCTCCAGGTTTGTGAGTTCAAGCCCTGCATCGGGCTCTGAGCCCTCTTGGAATCTTCTCTCTCCCTCTGTCTCTGCTCTTCCCTGCTCTTTCTCCTCATCTCAAAAATTAAATAAGTAAAAAAGAAACAAAAAGTGGCAATTCCCCTGGTGGCTTATTTCTGAGGTGTGGTTCTGTGAGTCATTCTCGGAAGCCTCAGCTACAGCCGGCCTTTCCAGCCCTGCTGAAGATTTTATAAGCACATAAATCTGTTACGAAATCTATTTCTGCTTCGAATAGCCAGACTGGTTCCTGTAACCGCACGTGGACCCTGCCTGAAACAGATGGTGTCTCTCACACCTGCGGCATAGGTAACACTCGAGAAGATGAACAGCTGCCCAAGGTTGTAGAGGTCAAGTGCCTCCACCGGGGATGACCTGGGGAAGAAGAGGCAAGACCGTAGGGGTGTGTGTCTGCAGAGTAGGGCAGTTCCTGCAGACACAGTAGCCTGAGGGTCAGAATCGGGGGACAACTCAGTGGACGGAAAACAGCAGCACAGGATGAGAAGACGTCAGAGAATAAACAACCACAAGGGCACCTTAGTAGGAATGGAATGTGAGCTCCATGGCGGTACAGGAGCGAGGGCTCAGAATGAAGCTGGGGACCCGGCAGAGGCCTTGAGTTTCAGCGAGAAGCCTGGTGACATAGTGCTGGGTTTCAGATGGGATATTGATGCAAAGCTGTTTTTGTGCGTTTCTGAAATTCCCAGGAACTGGTGGACAGGGATGTCGTGACTCTGGTGCAGTTGGTGACTGGTGACCCTCTGTCAGAGATGCACAGCCTAGACATTTCCAGAGCCCTGCAGGTGTGTTGGAGAGCACGAACCCATCTCTAGATTTTGGAAGAACTCACAGTACTCAGCCCACAGGTTCAAGGACACAGAGTATGGATTTTTAAGTTTATTTATTTAATTTTAAGAGAGAGACAGAGGGATGAGCTGAGGAGGGGCAAAGAGAGAGGAAGACACAGGATCTGAAGCAGGCTCCAGGCTCTGGGCCGTCAACACAGAGCCCGACTTAGGGCTCCATCCCACAAACCGTGAGATCATGACCTGAGCCGAAGTTGATGCTTAACCGACTAAGCCACCAAGGTGCCCCCAGAGTATGGATTCTGACGCAGAACATTCAAACCCGCCAGTAGCCACAGGAGCTGACATAGAAGGTCACAGCACCTGAGAGCAGGTGGATGTGATTGTTTCCCTGACAGTGAAGTTCAGGAGACAGTCCCAGGCCAGATACCTCACTCATGTTTGGGACAGGACTCAAATGGCCCTGAGCATAAGAAGGAAGGGGGCTCCACGTACGGTGTGTCGATAATTGGCGAAAGTAACCCCCCACAACACTGTATTTTGTTTGCCACAGTTGGTGAGGCCCCCATGAAATTTCCAAGGCTTTAGTAATCATAGTGCTGATATGGATAAAAATGCTGTGATGACAAGTTTGAAAAAATGAACTCATAGCTTTCGACAGAGCAAAAGGGCTTTCCATCAGGAAACTGGGATCTGAGGTAGGATTTATTGCAATGGATCCAATGACCACATACTTTTGATTTACTGGGGTCGTGTGCTAAACATTTCTGATTTCTGGGCCCAATATACTTGCCGAATTGGAAATTTCTGGAAATGGTGTCTTTATAAAAGTCCTGAGTGATGTCAGGTCACACAAAAATCTGGAAGTCACTGGTCTTAGGCACTCCCATCATCAGACTAATCTGACTACCAGATCTTTTTTTTTAATGTTTATTTGTATTAGGGGTGGGGGGAGAGGGAGCAGGGGAGAGGTAGAGAGAAAGAGACAGAATCAGAAGCAGGCTCCAGGCTCTGAGCTATCAGCACAGAGCCTGATGTGGGACTCAAGCTCACGAGCCATGAGATCATGACCTGAGCTGAAGTCAGAGGCTCAACCGACTGAGCCACCCAGGTGCCCCTGACTACCAGAAGTTCCCAAGGAATCTGAGGAGTGAAGGAACGGGCCTGGCAGCCTCTGAGCAGAGGGCGCAGGCTTTGAGCTCTTGTCCTGCATGTTTGGTTCAGTGTGGGAGGCTCAGAGGGGCAGGTTCCTCTGGCTCTTTCCTCCCGGCTGTCCGATGGCTCAGCCGCCTGGGGTCGGGGCCACCTCATGTGTTACAGCCACGCACCTGTCCACAAGCTTGAAGGAGCCCTAGTCCATCTTGTGCTATCGCGGATCCTGGAGTCAGTATCTACACATGTATTTATCCTCCACCTGATTCCAATGGGACTTCGGATGTTTGGTTTACCAGAGTAGACTGTGTAAACTTCACTAAAAAGATCTAAACTCTGGGGACGCCTGGGTGGCTCCGTGGGTTAAGCGTCCAACTTCGGCTCAGGTTATGATCTTGCGGTTTGTGAGTTCCAGCCCCGCGTCCGGCTCTGTGCTGACAGGTTGGGAGTCTGGAGCCTGCCTCAAATTCTGCCTTGCTTTCTCTCTCTCTGCCCTTCTCCCCACCAGAACTCTCTCCCTGTTTCTCAAAAGCAAATAAACATAACAAATAAATACATAAAAAATCTAAATTCTGGTCCTCTTTCCCCCAACCCCTTGAGTTTTGGCCTTCAAGACTTCAGCATTCTGAGAGAATAGATTTCTATTGTTTTAAATTGCATAATTTTGGATTGTAAATTGGGGATTTTTTTTTTTTTACCTCAATGCCCAGGGTTCAAAGAATGAAGAGGTGGGCACTAAATGAGCAGTAGGCAACAGTTTATTAGAGTAAGATTAGAAAGGAAGAGAAGGAAAGCTCTCTTTACAAGGAGGGGACATTCGAAAGTGAATGACGGGGACAATAGACAAGGTCTTTGTTTTATAGGATTCTGGTCGTCCTCCCCACCCTCCTCCCTCCTCAGGTCCTACCCTTATTGGCTACATAACTCTAGGTGCTGGGTTGTCCATTCCTGATTGGCTGGATTCCATTGTATGAGGGGTGCTCTGTGGCCATATCATTCCTTGTGGGTCATACATTTCACCGTCTACTGCTTATTTTTCGTTAGGTCTTTTGTCAGATTCCTGAGAGAAACCTGAAGGGGAGTAGGTAATGTCTGTCACATTCTTAAGAGGAACCTTATGCCCAAGGGGGTTTGCTGTGGTCAGAAGCACCCAGCATTCTTCCAAAATCTGTGTATTTCCCACCCAGGAACCTCAGGTCCTATCTTTTCCCGCTCTGTTTATTTTATCCTATCTTTCCCTATTATACGTAACCAAATATTTATCATTTTCCTTTAATTCTTTTTTAAAAACTTTTATATTATGTATTTATTGTTGAGAGAGAGAGAGAGAGAGTGTGAGCGGGGGGAGGGGGGTGGGCAGAGAGAGAGGGAGACACAGAATGCAAAGCAGGCTCCAGGCTCTGAGCTGTCGGCACAGAGCCCGATGCGGGGCTTGAACTCACAAGCTGTGAGATCATGACCTGAGCCAAACTCTGATGCTTAACCGACTGAGCCACCCAGGCATCCCCCAAATATTTATCATTTTAACCAGGTGGAAGTGTACAACTCAGTGGCACTAAATATTTCCACCATGTTGTATAGCCATAAGCACTGTCTTCACCTAAAACTTTATCAGCCGCCAAATAAAGTCGGTATCTGTTACACAATAGAGCTCCTCCCCCCAGGCCCCGGTAATCTCATTTTACCTGGTCTCTGTGAATTGGACAGTTGTAGGTATGGATATAAGTGGAATCATACAACATTTGCCCTTCCCCGTATGGATTGTTTCACTGAGCACAGGTTTTCAAGACCCATTCATGTTGTATCATGTGTCAGAACTTCATTCCTCATTAAGGCCAAACAACTGTTCCATCGTATGTAGAGACTACGTTTGGTTTTTCTCATCTACTGGTGGACGGACACTTGGGTCATTTTACCTTTTGACTATTGCAATCAATGCTGCAGGTGAACACTGGTACACAGTATTTGTTCAAGTCCCTACTTTCAGTTCTTTGGGGTTTACACCGAGAAATGGATTTGCTGGGTCATGGGGTAATTATTTTTTTTTTAAGTTTATTTATTTTGACAGAGAGAGAGAGAAGGAGAGAGGGAGAGAGAGAGACTGAGAGAGAGAGAGAGAGAGAGAGCAAGCAGGGGAGGGTCAGAAAGTCTCAAGAAGGCTCTGTGCTGTCAGAGCCTGATGTGGGGCTCAATCTCACAAACTGAGGTTATGACCTGAGCCACAGTCTGATGCTTCACCGACTGAGCCACCCAGGTGCCCGCATCATGTGGCAATTCTATGTTTAATTTCTTGAGGAACCACTCAACTGTTTTCCATAGTGACTGCACCATTTTACATTCTCTTTTCTTTCCTTTCTTTCTTTCTTTCTTTCTTTCTTTCTTTCTTTCTTTCTTTCTTTCTTTCTTCCTTCCTTCCTTCCTTCCTTCCTTCCTTCCTTCCTTCCTTCCTTCCTTCCTTTTTTTCTTTTTTTTTCCTATCAAAAATGGAAATTCGCTTGGCTTGTGTAACAGGAAGGTTTGAGGTGGAACCCACATGGTGTGCTTCAGGGACTCACTTGATGCCTCTGAACTTGATCTTGCTCCATGTGTCCCACCTGCCTGCCTCTACCTTCATGTCACCCTCAGGCTCTACATGAGGGCAAGATGTCCGCAGCAGTGCCTGCATCCAATCCAGCCATGTCCAAGTCCATCTCATTGACTCTGTGAGCTCATCGGAGAAACTTTAGGGTTCTGACTTACCAGAGGGTGACTGGCTTCTGGAAGGCCAAGATAGCAGTTGTGACCATGCTTTTCCCATTTGGTAAATTGGCCCCCAGCTTGGGGAAAAGGCAGCCCCTCACACCCCAGCACTAGGTTTGCAAGTGGAGATTACCATTCCTCTGGTGGGCAGGGACTCTATCACTTGGGATCCTCAGACAAAGAGAACCAGTAGGAAATATATAAAAGGGGATTTGTTATAAAAGAGGATTTGACTCACAGGCTCATGGAGGCTGATGAGACCTCCTGAGGTCAGGAGGCTAGAGACTCAGGGAAGCTAGTGGTGAAACTCAGTCTGGGTGGAGCCAAGGGCAGGAGGAGATTGATGTCCCCACTGATGCAATTGGCCAGATCACCCCTTCCTGTGCTTTTTGTCTATTCAGACTCTCAGTGGCTTGGATGCTGGTCTTCTTGGGGGAGGGGATTGACTTGGCTGAGTCCCCTGATTCAAATGTTAATCTCCTCCCTAACCCCCCTCCCAGACACACCCAGAAAGAATGTGGGCACCCCATGACATAAAATTTACTGTCACAGAGACTCAGATTTTCCATCACGTTTGATCCTTCCTTCTTCCTTGACCTTCATATCCCGTTCACTGTCTGCCCACCGACTCTCCCTGGCAGAGAGTTTTTCTTCTGTCTGATTCACTCCCACTGAGAGCTCTCATTATCTAAGTCTGTGGGAGGTGATTACCACCGGGAGCCTGGATGCGGAGATGAGAATGCATTCCGGGAGGGAGGTCTATGTTTGTAAACTCACCACAGAACAGAAGAGATGGGCTTTCGGTAGGTCCTGTAAGGGGACAGGATCACTGCCTTCTTGTGACCAATGAAACCTCAGGGCTTCTGAGGCAGTCTCGGGAGACCTGAATGTAAGAGAAAGGTATAGTTAGTTAGAAATATTTAAACAACATGACTGGCAGAAGATGGTGGAGAAAGGGAGGAGAAGGTCAGAAAGTGGCAAGTGCAAGCATACTAACACGCAGGGCTTTGCGGCCAATGCTGTGTCGCCAGATATTTCTCACAACCCATGACAAATGCTTCTCTGTCCCGAGTCCATGTTCAACAAGGAAGCTACTGATTAGTGACTGGCATCCCGAATAGCTTCGTGACAGAAAAGCAGTGCCTTGGATGGCTGCCCGGAGCCCCCCAGGGCCTTGTGACAAAAGCCCTTTGCTGGATCACTGTTAGAAATGAGGGCTCACAACAGAGCACAGTCTGCCCACCATGGGCAGAGCTCTTGATGTGAACCCAAAGTCATCAGCTACCTGCCTGCTCAGCCAGAGTTACACACATGGTGATGCCACTCAGGGAAGACTTCCTTCCCCCGAATCACAGACTTGAGTCCCACTTGCCCTGCATTTGGTCATCTTATTATGTCTCACAATGTCCAAGTGTCTCACAACCTTGGCCTGAATCGGGACTGAATCCAATGACCTGCAAAACTGAGCTTCATATTAAAGCCAACGAGTCAAAAAATAAAAATCTGTCTCAACTTTAAGTCCTAGGAATCCACCATGGTCACTAGAGCCACCTCATGGGGTGGGTTGCTGGCCTTGGATCTGTCTCTGTTCTCACTCCCTCCTCCCCCCCCCACTCCCCAGCCATGGCCGCCATGCACATGAGTGCATGGTCTTTGGTAAACTGGAAGGGGTTCTCAAACCTACTGCCTCCTGGATTGATCCTCAGCTGCGGGAGAGGGAGAGCCCCAGGGGTGAGACCTGCCTGGTGCTGGGTGCTGGCACCCAGTGGGAAATGAGCATTTTTGTAGCGTATGGGGACACAAAGAGTGCAACGGTATCCCAACCAAAGTTCAGAGAACAGGAAGGTGGATAGAGAGCACGGGCCTCTCACACCCATTCTGGGCTGAGACTCGCAGTGTGTGGGGTTAAAGGAGGTTCAGGAAAAGCACCAGTAATGGAAGAAGAAGGCTGAGAAGCATCGGTGGGCTGGACAACAGGAGGTCTGAGGCTGAGGATGTTGAGATTTGTCCTGCAGCCAGAGAGGAGCTGTGTGGCATCCCTGGCCGGGCAGGGCTGACTGTGATCCAACCATCTGTGAACCACAGTGTTTTGCTCTGATGGTTTTAAGAAGGGTGAGCTGCCACTTTCTCCCTGCCTTATCCCCCAGCTGCCCCTTAAATTCTTTTTCTTGTGAAATACATATTAGATACAAGACTATAAAGTATATACATATGAGTTCATGAGTAATAGAATCAATGTCTATGCATTTACTACCCAAATTAAGAAATAGATCTTTCCAGAAACTTAGAGGCTCCAGTGTGCCCTCCCGGCTCACACCCACTTCTCCATCCCAGAGTTAATCATTGTTCGGATGGCATTGGGAAGGAGTAGGGGACTGGATAATATGGTGGAAGGCAAGAGCAAACATAGATGAAGGACTTCGCAGGAAAGAAACAACTAGAGCTTTCCTTTCGGGCTTTTAAAAAAAGTTTTTATTTTTATTTTTTAATTTATTTTGGGAGAGAGATAGAGAGTAAGTGCAGGAGGGGCAGAGAGAGAGAAGAAGAGAGAGAATCTCAAGCAGGCTCCACAATGTCAGTGCACAGCCTGATGCGGGGCTCAAACTCATGAACCGTGAGATCATAACCTGAGCCGACATCAAGAGTCGGATGCTGAACTGACTGAGCCACCCAGCCCTTCCTTTTGGGCTTTTTTGCTGGCAGTAATGCAACATAGCTGCATGGGCCGTGCCTACAGTCCATGGACTCACTTGGTTGGGATGAAGGGTGCTGGGAGGTGTGCTCCACGCCTACCTCATATGGGGCAATGGAGAAGAGCTGCCAATGGTGAGATATGGATAAGTTCAAGACTTCAGGAGGGACAAGAATACAAGGTCTCTGTATGGCCACAGTTGGCCATAAATTACAGAAAACCCGACTCAGACTATCTCAAACAAGTAACGTAGTTACTGACTCACTTAGCTATAAGTCTTGGGACAGGTCAGACTTCAGCTCCACGTCCATGGTTTTCTTTGTTCTGTCCTTTAACGGGATGGGAACAGTGTAGACTTCAGCTCCACGTCCATGGTTTTCTTTGTTCTGTCCTTTAACGGGATGGGAACAGTGTTCAAGACCTTGCCTCCAGGCAGGACAAAATCCTAAGGAAGAGGAGAGCATTTCCTTCTGTCGTTTTATCTAAAAAGCATCATTTTTTCCCACAGAACCACTCCTTCCCAACTTCCTTTCCCACCCATCACCCAATGGGTCCATTGCTGAACTAATCTCTGGTGGAAGATACCATCTGTTGAGTGACTCAGGTTTGAGTTCTAGAATCTAGCCTGACTGGGGGTGGGGGTGGGGGTGGGGGGAGATGTGACCAGTTCAGATTGAAGAGACTCAGACCTGAGTGGGGGCCACCATAGCCAAAGGAATGACTGTCACCCTGGAAATTTACTGAAATATCTGTTAGGGCACCACACTTCCTTCCAGATGCATCAGATAGATTTTAGGTTGCCGACGTTATAGCAAAAGAATTGTACACATATTCATTTATTTCATCTTCTGATCCCATTACCATTTAGAATCTTATAAAACGCCCCAAGTGAACAAGCCTGGGTAACAAGATGCCATCAGTCTCTTTATAACCTTTCCTCTGAAGAGCTCTCTGGATAGTTCAATAATACTCAGAAGAAAGCATCATGTCACCATGATATAAATAACTAGATGGTTGCCCTAAGGACCAGATCCTGGAGATGATGGTCGGAGTAGACTACCACTGAGGGACTCCGGGGTTTAGGATCAGTCTAGGAAAGAGGAACCTTTCAGGGAATCTTAGAACTCCTCACCTGCAACTCCCAACCCTGTGTGAGGGACAGATATCTACTGTGAAAATTAATGAAGGGAAACCGCACTACAGTGGAGTTGTGACGCCAGCAGGGGGAGCACTCACACCCTATCACTTGTATTTAATGGACTCCAACCAGAAGAGAGGTTCCTGGTTGCAGAGATACTACTTCATCCACCACGGGGAGGAAGGAAGGTTTTCTCCTTCTGCCCTGGCAACAGCCCAGCCAATGAGAGACAGTCACAGTTCAGCCAATGAGAAGTCACTACACTTCAAACTCCCAGTTTACTCCAATGGGCTTTTGGCTGATAACGGCCTCTCTCCAGAGTCCCTTGGTCTCCACGGATCTTTGGGAGAGATTTCTAGAAGTGGGGTTGCTGGGTCAAAGGGCAAATGCATAGATAAATTTGCTCGATAATGTCAAATCCTCATCTATAGCATTATACCATTTGAGTCACAAGTTTCTCTCTCTATCTCTCTCTCTCTCTCTTATGCTGTTAAACCAGAAACTTTATGTTTAACTTACTGGCACAGTGTCTTACTGAGTTAGGGGGAAAAAAATCCCTTATTTTTCCCCAATGTGTGTCTGCTTTACTTTCACACAGAACCCTTCACTTCTGACACTTCTAGTCACCACATCTGTGAGGGTTTTCCCCACACCAAGCAATTCTGCAACACCAGCTGGGTGTCTTACAATGTAACTCAATTCTGACACTGTCTACATGGAGATAGCATCTGATCCCACAGGTGAAGGGCTCGGTCCTATGAGAATAAGTCCCATCATTCCAGATGGCAATTGTAAATCCAAGTTGTCACCTGCGCTTCTGACCCATGGGCTATAAATCAGAGGTTCCCATAGTCCCCTCTTTAGGTTTGACTAACTTGCTGGGGTGACTCATACAAAACAGCTGACTTGTGTATACAAGTAAACAAGGGATATATGTAAAGGGATACAATAAGGGATACAGGTGAGCATGTGGACGGATGCATGAGGCAAGGAATGTTGGAAGGGAAAGAGTTTCCACGCCCTCTCTAGATGTGTTACATGTTCACCAACCCAGAAGCTCTCTGAACCCCATACCATTGAGAGCTTTATGGAGGCTTCCTCATGGAGATATGGTGAATCGTTAACTCCATTTTCAGCCCTTCTCCTTTCTTAAGAGAATGGGGGGCAAGTTGAAACTTCCAAGCTCGCAATCATGGCTTGTTCTTTCTGGTGACCAGCCCTCATCCAGGAGCCCAGGCAGCATCACCTCATGGGAACAAAAGACACTCTGATTACCCAGGAAATTACAGGTGTTTCAGGAGCCCTGTGTGAGGAACTGAGGTCCAAGACCAAATATTAGAACAAAAGATGCTCCCAGTGCCCTTTTCACTTAGGGAATTACCAAGGTTTTAGGAGCTTTAGGAACGGGGGCTGAGGCCAGCATGGATTTTTCTGTAATCTCACAACCACTCAAGAGAAAAACACGTTGACAGACTAAAATTTTGGTCCCCTTACAAGGTTTATTCAATGTGTCCAGAAAACGATCTTTATTCGTGCATGAAAACAAGCCAATTTGGCCATTTAATTATCAGGTCCTCACACCATATTTCCTGTGGTAACGGCTGGCTGCTTCAACATCATTAAAACGATTGCACTTTGACATTATTTCCATGAAAAAAAAAATCATGCTCTCCCTAGGGGGAAGATTGTGTGGCTAGAGTGTCCCGTGATGACATTGCATGTCACTTGAGTCCTATAGAAAAGGGAAGCTCCCTCCCACAGAGGACGTTGAGTTTCCTTCTGCATTGAGTCCTTTCTGGCTTATTCCCACAGATCCCAAGAGGACTCTGGATCCTCTTTGCCTCATATCACCTCCAAAGAGAGGCGGCTGAAGGCCAGTCCCTGGAAATACAGGAGGGCTTTGATTCCATTTATGTGGGCACAGTGGAGTCATGCCAGCCCGCCTGACACAGATAGGTGCGTCATAAATTCCATGGGCTGACCCCAAGGCTGGGGAGCTTGGGCCCAATGAGCTAGGGCTTTCGGTAGCAAATTCCTGGAAGTTGGTTACCTGCCAAAAACCATGTTGCAGGTGAGCATGTCCTGAAAGGAGGACTTACACGTCTCGGATACATGATCCGCTCTCCTAATGAGCCAGCCGGCCTTTGAACAGACTTCTGAAGGGATAGTAGCCACAGTGGAAGAAAACAGGATTCTGACCTCTCAGAGCCTATGGATACCTGGGAGGGATCAGGTGGTGGGTTCATTCAAAAGTTTCCCTGTAGAATAAATGCATTTCACAGGTGAATTCTGGAACAAAGCAAGGTGCACCGAAACCAGATCGCTGCTGGCTTCAGGAAAGATTAAAGGGAAGCCTGAGCCTTTTTAAAGAAATGGGGTGCACCTCAGCTGTGTTAATTTCACAGGAAGGGGATACCAGCCAGTATTGTGAGCAAGATGCCACTGGTTTATTAGGCAGAAAGGCCATCAGAAAAATCCAGAGTTTACAAATAAAGTCCAGAAGGGAAAGAAATGTGGAAGTCTGAATGGCTAACCTCTTTTTTAAAAATTAATAATTATTTTTGTGCCAGCAAAACAATTTTTACATTTTAATATTAAGAATTTTTTAATATAGGAGCACCTGGGTGGCTCCATCAGTTAAGCGTCTGACTCTTGATTTCGGCTCAAGTCATGATCTCATTGTTGGGGGGTTCGAGCCCCAGGTCAAGCTCTGCACTGGCAGGGCGGAACCTGCTTGGGATTCTCTGTCTCGCTCTCTGCCCCTCCCTTATTCTCTCTTTCTCTCAAAAATAAACTTTAAAAGTGTTAATATAATAAATTGAATTATATGTTTCAAAAGTCAAAGCCATACTAAAAATGTATTTGCAGAGATGATACACTCCACCCTCACCCCCACCTTCGCTGGAACGGGGTATCGCTATTTTCTCTGTGTGGAGCCATGAGGCCGCGGCCCCTGCAGTTAGGACCTGCTGCCTCTTTGGGATCTTGGGGAAAGGGAGAGAAAGCCTTGGTAACACAACACTCCTCTCCAGCTCTGGCCAGGAGGCAGCATCTTTAATCCAGGCCTCTTTCCATCCGAGGGGACAGAGGGGTCAACCTCCTTGCAAGGAAAGGTGGAGCCATTCCCCTGGCAAAGGAGAGTGAGGCCCCGGGATTGTGCTAGAAACGGACCAGGCTTACCACTGAAAATCTGAATCATCAGCACAATTATTTCAAGTCTCCATTTGTCAGAAGCTGAGAAAGTTCCCTAAGAGAAGGAGTTGAATTTTGGGAGGTTGGAAAACCTTTAGTCTAAAAATACTGTTTAAAGCATTGCAATAAATAGGAACAATCCCCAAGGTCTATTTCTCCTCAAATCACCCCAATCCAGAGCTCATGCTAGCCCACAGTCTATAGTCACTGCCAGCAGGTTTTGGCTGAGCACCCTATTAGCAAAAAAAAAAAAAAAAAATTTGAACATATACTTCCAATATCCCAAGATATGTAAATATACTCATTCATAAATTTAAACCATATATTTATGTATATATATTTTTTATTCATAAATTTCATACATTAGTAAGAGGATGTTATACTATATAACATATGTAAAAAAATATGTATTAAAAAGGGTTGATATTAAAATATGTCTCAGGGCACCTGGGTGGCTCAGTCGGTTAAGTGTCCAACGTCACCTCAGGTCATGATCTTACAACTCATGGGTTTGAGGCCCGCATCGGGCTCTGTGCTGACAGCTTGGAGTCTGGAATCTACTTTGGATTCTGTGTCTCCACCTCTCTCTGCCCCTCCCTTGCTTACACTCTCTCTCTCTGTCTCAAAAATAAATAGACATTTAAACAACTTTTTTTCCAAACGTCTCAATATGTGCTTGTTTTTGCTTCCTTCACCCTTGAGGTGAAGTGAGTTCTAGATTGGCTGAAAGTTCACCTTCCTAGACATTCCTTCAGCTCGTGCCCCAGGCTCAGAGGGAGGAGAAGGAGAGGGAAGGAGATGGATACTCATTTTGCCCTGGCGGCATTTGTCAGGCCCGGCACCCGGGGCTCCCTGGTGGGCGACCAGCCATGCAGCCCCTATGGGCAGAAGCAGATGGGACTCCATGGCTCGCCTGCTCCAGGAGTTCAAGAAGCTGTGGAATGGGCTTGGGGGCCAGCACAGGGTCATGCTGATTTATTTTATTTTGT